CCCACCGCCAAGGGAGAAAGCGGCAGGGTCATTCGGCTGGAACCAACCCGAAGCGGGGTCCGCTTACTGCAGAGCAAATAACGCCCGTGCCTTTTAGACGATGACATTTATTTTCTTCCGTAGGCCTGTCCGGCACATAAACACCATGTTCAATGTTTTAATAAACTGTTCGGAAAAAAACAATGATGGGAAGTTTATTATAAAGGCGGTCATTTCAGTCTTGTTTTGAACCCTGCTGTACAGTCAGTTTCACATTTAAGGCATTTCAGTTAATCATGTAAATTGGTGACATGCTACATTAATATTTACATCCACTCAAAATTATACAAAATACAAGCATTTTATTATTTCTTAAGTTCAACAGTATTGCTTGGAATTACAAAATACAGCAATGTCTGAAATACTGAAGGTTCCATAAAAGCAGCAATTTTTCTCCCAGTCCCAGTCTTAACCGCCCAGAAAATTACTGAATAAAAATACTTACTGTGTTACATAAGCCACAGACCTAGGAACGTGACCATCAAGTCTTAAACCACACAACTTAAACATAAATGCAAATGGCGACCGGCAGATGAGCGTGACATTGGTGAGGGCACCAGAACAGGTGTCTCTGCCCTACCTATTGCAGTCTCTTGGGGTTTTTTTCCCTCTGGTCAAAAAATAACAGCGTGTTCAGACAGACATTTAGAAGGCAGACTGGCTTTGTGACGACCATGCGGGTGCTCCCGGCGTTAACAGTGCAGAACCACTTTGGCGACTGCTGCTGAACACGTTCACACGCATATGGCAAAACCAACCCGTCACAACACGGTGCGATTCTTCCGTTGTGACGGATCTATACAGGAATATCACCATTTTCCATACATGTGCTTAAAGACACAGGCTCTAAAAGCTACAGGTGAAATTTCAACCTCTGAAGCGTACACTCGGTTTATTTTGTCACAGTAGGAGCGGTGTGTACTTACTCAGGTTGAATGTTGCTGTAATCCAACTACATAACTATTTTTGGTCCCCACGTGCAAAAAACCTACTTGAAGCTTTTTTCCCCGTCTCCCTTTCTTTCACTTGTTTGTCAAGGACAGGTTGATTTTTTTTGTTTTAATTCATTTTTTAGTGCATGACTTTTCAAGTACCTAGCCTACGAAAGTCTATAAACAGCTTAAAATATCAGGAAGAAATTCCAAGGAAAAGCATTTTCACAATCAAAGATAACATCTGCACTTTTTTCTTTAAAGACCATATAAAAAGAAATTGATAGTGTATAGGTTCTCACATTTATATTAAACAAAAACAGTTCCTGTTGTATTCAAAAGTAGTTTCTCAGCGTATGCAAACTGTGTCTTCCCTTATTCAGAATACATTAATTTAGCCTATAAAAATACAATATGGACAAGTTCTTCTCGTTCCCTGACATAAGAATTCACAATTTTGAGACAAAAATTGTAAACTTTTATTACATTCAAAATACATTTCTTAAGTCTTTAGAATTTAAGTTCTGAGGTGTCGGCAGTCGGAGCTCTTTGTATACAGCAGGAGTACGTTATTGCAGAGCCTTTACACAGAAGCAGCTTTCTAAAGTTAAGAGAAACTTACTCTTCCCAGGTATTTTTCTTCCTACCAGGAGGAAAAGAAAGGCTTCCTGCTATGAAAAGTCTGTGTGAACACGTTACTCAGATGAACAATTCGGCCCTGACTTCCAGTGCTACTTCGCTCCACAATCACACGTGGCATCTGAACCAGCTGAATGGGACTTTTCTCATCCTTTAACGCCTGAGTAAGGTTTAGTATCTAAAACAGTAAAAGCAGGTAAGGTGAGGGCACACCAATAAAACTGTGGCTAACAGGCTTATCAATTCAGATGCCACTCTTAAATCAATTCTGTAGAGGACTGCACTATCATGGAAATTATTTTTAAAAGATACTCTATTGCAAGTAGAAATATTTTATTTATTTGGTAACATTATGACATCCTACTGCTACCTGACTGCCCTTCTATTCTTTTCTTGAATATTTCATGCAATCCTCTTTGAATGTCTGGAAAATGTTAGAGACAAAAATCTAAAAGCATTTTAAATTCAGCACATCTCAAGAGCATTGCACCTTTAACAAAAAAACAACTACAAGAAAGCAATCAATGTGTATTTAACACAGGATCTATACCAGCAGTTTAGCTACAAATTATTTTCATATCAGAAGATATGATGCCATATTATTAACCCACACCAAACCCTGTGCTAAGATCCAAATTCCAACCTCGGCTCCCAGGATTTTTTTATCCTCCTTCCCAAATTCAGCACTAATGCGGTTTTGTTCTGGTGACACACGTCCATTATCCTTAATATCAAGCCTTTTTTCCCCCTGCATAAAGCCCTTTTGCTCCTTGTGAAACTTACTGACCCCCTGCTCACTCTGCACTTTGACAGCTGAAGAACCCAGATAAAAGTCTTTTGATGGTTTACTGTAATTTGACTCTTGCAGCAACTCCACTTGACATTGACATTTTCTAAGTTCTAAGGCAATCCTTTGTAGATCTGTGTTACCTGGTTGCTTAGTCTCTATATTCTTGAGAACTGTTTGTCTTGGATTTGAAACCCTTCCCAATGTTTTTTTGCCCTGCTTCACAAAAATATACTTCTAACTACTAAAGATCTTGCCCCTTACGTGCACGGTGTATTTCTCTTCAGCCTCATTATATTTGTCAACTAGATTCTTCATTTTATAATTCTTAAAGTTTTCATTTTAAAGGATATATTTACAGATGTTTTCGCTATCCTGCAAATTCATATTAACTGAATGAATCCATTATCATGTGATCTAGGTAGCCAATGCTTCTATAATGCCCTTGTAACATACTTTGGTTTTACACCAAAAGCAAGTCTAAGATCAGTGCTAAAAGGCATCATTTACTGATGTATTTCCAATCACATCCAAGAATAACTCATTATCTGCATTCCTTCCCTAAATCCATGCCTGAAAACCTGACATCTCCTGCAGTGAAACACATTCTTGTATAGCTAGAGATTTAAAAACAAAACAAAATACACTAAAAAAACAAACTCTATTGAAATCCACCTCAGGGAAAGGGTGCAAAGAAAGGGTCCAGATGTAGCCTTTATGGTGGGAAATTAATTTAGACAATCTTAGCTAGATCTCTCTCAATTACATAGATTGTTTTTTTTCCTTAAGCTTTCTGTTAAATAACAGATTCCCTGTAGGCAACTGTCTCTTCACAAAAAAGCTACTTAACACAGCTGAAGATGGATGAATACTTCAGAATTGACCTTCCAGTGACTGCACAAACTTCTCAGAAGAGTTATTTCAGAAATAACTCCTATAATTCAATTTAATAATAAGTAAGGTTTGCTGGCTTTCAGCCACCACGCATAACTAATGTTAACTGGGATTACGTTTGACTAATCAGAGCTGCAGTCTTGTGCAAGGTACTTCTTGATACAGCAAACTCTACAGAGCAAGGTGAGATTAAGCCACTCCAGGAATTGTTAGTGTGTGGCTTTAAACTATCCATGTTGAATTTATGAACACAGAAGTCAGTTTCAATAAATTAAGTGCAAACAGAACTATTGATTTGTCTAGTCCAATTCCCTTACATTTTCACAAATCACTGTTTTATGCCTACAATCAACTAATTTTGTTCTTAGCAAAAGCTTGTTTTCCAGTATATCACACCAGACTTAAATTTTAAGACAGCAAGAAGATGGAGAAATATTCAATGGGACCTGAAGATCAACAAGAGCAAGTGAAGGGTCCTGCACCTGGGGAAGAACATCCCATGCACCAGCACAAGCTTGGGGTGGACCTGCTGGAGAGCAGCTCTGCAGAGAGGGACCTGGGAGTGCTGGTGGATGACAAGTTGACCATGAGCCAGCAGTGTGCCCTGGCTGCCAAGAAGGCCAATGGAACCTGGAGTGCATAAAGAAGAGGGTGGCCAGCAGGTCGAGGGAGGTTCTCCTCCCCCTCTACTCTGCAGGCCCCATCTGGAGTACTCTGTCCAGTTCTGGGCTCCCCACTTCAAGAAAGATGAGTGGCTACTGGAGAGAGTCCAATGGAGGGCTACAAGGATGGTGAGGGGACTGGAGCATCTCTCCTATGAGGAAGGGCTGAGGGAGCTGGGCTTAATTAGCCTGGAGAAGGCTGAGAGGGGATCCTATAAATGCCTATAAACACCTTAAGGGTGGGTGTCAGGAGGATGGGGCCAGACTATTTTCAGTGGTGCCCAGCAACAGGACAAGGGGCAATGGGCACAAACTGAAGCACAGGAAGTTCCGTCTGAACATGAGGAAGAACTTCTTCCCTCTGAGGGTGACGGAGCACTGGAACAGGCTGCCCAGGGAGGTTGTGGAGTCTCCTTCTCTGGAGATATTCAAGACCCACCTGGACAAGGTCCTGTGCAGCCTGCTGTAGGTGACCCTGCTTCATCAGGGGGGTTGGACTAGATTATCCCCAGAGGTCCCTTCCAACTCCTACCATTCTGTGACTGTGAAACACTTCTCTCTTGTTTCAGTGCTAAAAAAATCCAACATACAATTACTATCAAACTTCTAATTTGAAAATTGCTACACTGGTTCCAAGTATCATTCTAACATTTGCTAGGACAAAGAAATTTTATTACCTAATATTGCTTTCTTGTGAGAGGTATTTCAATCATCAAGTTAATACTCCAAAACAAAGTCGCATTTATCTTACTAACGTAACAAAATTGCCCACCAAATTTTCCATCCAAGTTTGACTCTTCCCAGTATTTAGTTTTTAAAATACCTTCTAATACATAGATGTTAAGTCCTACCCTACTTCTTACAAAACTACTCCTTACAAAAACAATAAAACCCAATTACATTAAGAAAACATTCTTCTATAAAAATAAAAAAATAAGTATACACTTTCTGATGTCTCATTTATATGCAAATAAGAATAAACTCTGTAAAGAAATTTAGTCTTCTCAGATGAAAATACCTTCAAGTGTCTTTCAGTTCAATAGGAGTCAGTTTTTGAAGCTCTAAAAAAACAGCTGAGAAGTCATGACAAATTAAATACATAAATAAAAATGTAAAAAAAGCAGTCTTACCTGCCCCCTCATAACGGACATTTGGTTTTCAAAAGTAGCCTTGTCAAATCCTTTATCAGTCTTTAATAAAGAAAACAAACAGTTATTACAGGAAATGACCCACTGATTTTTAGCTATATATTTAGCATGTAAATTGGTCAATTTCATAATACACAGTAACATTTACTGACACTATAATATTTTTTGGAAGCTTCAAATAGTCATAGTATGACGCACAAAAAGGTCTATTTATTGCAGCAAGTTTACATATGTGAAAATGAAGGATGTTCCACATTATGAAAGCAAAATACATCAGTGGATACCACTGTACGGCATTGGCAGGTAGGCTTAACACCATCACATAATGTTACACCACTCTGTCTCTCACCCTTGCTCTGGCAAAAAAAACCCAAACTATTTCCTCCTTCAGATTTATTAAACACTTCAGCTTCCACTGCGTTTAGCAGACAACCCAGAGTCACTTTGAATACAACTGAATCAAAGATGCAAGTATTGCAAATGTGTGTCAGGATCTAGTCTTGACACTACAGCTGCACTTTCATTCAAAGTTTAAAGTTTCCATTTTTTTCCATCCTGATCATTTGGATTAGTTCACTTAAAACCTGACACGTTTCCTTGTGGAATGTTTCAGAGAACGACACTCCTTCATATGTCAATATTGTAGCACAGATTCACTATCTTCAAAGTAAGTTTGACTTACTGTAAACATGGCCAAGATTTAACATCAACTTCAGACAATGTATATATGTAAAAACAAGTATATGAAATGTATGCAGGTACTTTAAGTTAAACACATGATTTCCTCATGTTGCTACAGTTTAATCTCAAGTGTGTACACACCACACAGGTATGTTAAATGGAGTTTTTACACAGATTTGTGCTATAAAAGTTAACTAGCTTTAATTATGTGAAACTTTGATATATAAAAAGTAATTATGTTTTTAGATGAGCTGATTATTATCGATTAGCCACATACATCAGTGACACAGTTCCCTCTAATTATACAAAACCTTTCTATCATGCCAGTGTTAAAGCTAAAATAGCACAGTATCAGGACACACAGAAGTTAAATTCAAAAAAAGAAAAACCATCTAACTGTTCTACTGCAGGTATTGGCTATTTCAGTAAGGCTCACTTCAAAGCAGCATTCAATTCACCTTAAATAGCTCATAAAGATCTTCACAAAGATCCTGTACGAAGTTCATATCAGAAATGCGAGGAAGAACTAAGTCTCTGGTCTCCTGAGAGAAAGGAACTTTTGCTTGAGACAGCCAAGCCCAGTGAAAGGGATCTAATGCAGAAAAACAGTACATATACTGATTCACAACGGGCAAAAATTAAATTCCCAAGTGCTTACCACTGCTACAGTACTCTGGTGCCTACTGAAAGTTCTCCGTAACACACAGTTTTTCACAACATTGTTACCCTCTTTTGGCTACAGTTACAAAAGCAGTTTTACAGCTACTTGGCCTTTTTTCCAAACATTTTTAAGTATTAAATATGTAGGTGAAGCAGTAAGTAAAAAAGGTATATAAATGAAATACTGGAAGCAACAGTAGAGGCCTTCTAGTTTAGTAATGGAGTTTCCTTTGGAGTAAAATAATGGCTGCAAACAAATAGAAATCTTTCAGATGTTTGACTCATACTGAAGAATTAACAAAAAAGTAGCTACTATTTTTTAATTCTTAATTTATTAAAATGCTGCCTTCTAAGCACACTGAGGAAAACATTCTTAGCTTTTCACATAATTGCTATTAAACAGCTGTTTCAAGAGATATTGCAAGAGTAATTAATATTACCAGATGTTAAACAAGACACCAAACAGTATCAGTTGCAGGAACTGACAAGTGTCCTTAGTAGCAGGCCACCCACTGAACTCTGCCTACAAGAATACCATGAGAGACCACATGGAAGGCCTCACAAAAGTTAAGGAAAACCAGTATTCACTGCCCTCCCCTCATCCACTGAATTAGTCATCTTATTAAAAGTTGTCTAGTCAGTCAAGCGTAGTTTGTCCTTGCTAAGTCCATGCTGGCTTCCCCATCACCTTGCTCTTCACGTGCTTGAATGTGGCTTTCAGGAGGATTCATTCCATCATCTTCATGCAGACTGAGGTTAGGCTGGCTACCCCGTCATTCCTGGTACCCTGCACCTTGTCCCTCTTGAAGCTGGATGCGATACTCACCTTCTTCTGGTCATCAGCAACCTCCCACGTTAATAAAGTCTTTCAAGAGTGATGAGAAAACAGCCTCACAACGACATCAGCCAGCTCCCACCGTGTTTCCAATGTGCCTCATCTACTGCTATGAACTTCTATATGTCCATTTTGCTCAAGTGCTCCCTTTCTTCCACTTTGGGTAATGATTCATTCCCAAAGGCTCCTCTTATGAGCTCTAAGACCTAAAAGCCTGAAAGCAAATCTTAAAAGTGAAAACTGAGGCAAAGTCCACATTGATTAACTTGTTCTTTCTTACGCCTTTTATCTTTAGGTCCTTGCTGCGCTTTTCTTCAGTCCCACTCTCACTTCTAATTCACTTAGCCTCTCTTGTTGCCATTCATGTCCTCTGTTAGCTTCACTCCAGCTGAGCTTCAACTCTCCAGACTCCATTCTTACACTTTTGGACAAAGTCTCTATTTTTCCAGGAGAGTTTCTACTTCTTTTTTTTTATACTTTACTTTTGTGTCCCAGTTCAGTCAGGAGTTCCCTGCTCATCCTTGTTGGACCAGCTTCCTGCCTTTTAGATAGGCTGTTCTCTGACTTTGAGGAGATTATCCTTGATGATGACCAGCCCTAGTCATCAAGAAAATATGCTCTATCCCTAAAGAGCCTGCGATTTTAAAAAACATCACACAAGTTTACCTTCACAGAATTGTCACACACTTGTCCAACTGCAAAAGAATTCTAAAGAATCATCCAAGTTTATTACCTGCTGAAGAGCAGCTCTGTGGAGAGGGACCTGGGTGTCCTGGTGGACGACAGGTTGACCATGAGCCAGCAGTGTGCCCTGGCTGTCAAGAAAGCTAACGGGATCCTGTGATGCATTAGGAGGAGTGTGGCCAGCAGGACGAGGGAGGTTCTTCTTCCCCTCTATGCTGCCCTAGTGAGGCCCCATCTGGAGTAGTGTGTCCAGTTCTGGGCTCCCCAGTTCAAGAAAGATGAGGAGCTACTGGAGAGAGTCCAGCGGAGGGCTACAAGGATGATGAGGGGACTGGAGCATCTCTCCTATGAGGAGAGGCTGAGGGAGCTGGGCTAGTTTAGCCTGAAGAAGAGAAGGCTGCGAGGGGACCTAATAAATGCTTATAAATATCTCAAGGGTGGGTGTCAGGAGAATGGGGCCAGACTCTCTTCAGTGGTGCCCAGCGACAGGACAAGGGGCAATGGGCACAAACTGAAGCACAGGAAGTTCCGTCTGAACATGAGGAAGAACTTCTTCCCTCTGAGGGTGACGGAGCACTGGAACAGGCTGCCCAGGGAGGTTGTGGAGTCTCCTTCTGTGGAGATATTCAAGACCCGCCTGGACAAGGTCCTGTGCAGCCTGCTGTAGGTGACCCTGCTTCGGCAGGGGGGGGGGGGTAGGTGACCCACAGAGGTCCCTTCCAACCCCGAACATTCTGTGATTCTGTGATTACTTTTGATGCTGAAATAAAAGATGGCATAAAATAAGCAATAAGTGCCATGTCTCTAGAACAGCTGCAGAAGTGACTGTAGCCAAGAGATACATAGGACAGTAATTACTGAGTATCAAGATACATAGAGACTATACAGAGCTCTGGGTGGGGTAATTGACTAGACTTATGACAGCACAACCAGGCCATGTTTAACTGTCATAATTACCTCACTAGCTAATAGCCCACAGAAATAATTGTAAAATCTTTTGAGCACTTCCCTCTAAACAATAAGTAGTCAGAGAATTGATCAGAAGCAATCTAGCTTTAACAGTAATATCAGTTTTCAGTCTGATCAAAATTACTAACTTAAAGTTTAATTGGTACAAAGTAAGCTAAAGCGGAGAACAAGTAAAAAAAACATGCAACTTGTCTACTTGTTTACCTGCAACAGCACCCTTTATTTGAAAACAAAAATGTTGCCATTACAGAGAACTTGCATATCCTTGCACTCAAGTAATTTTCCACCACTATTTTCAGAAAACACATGTGGAAAAATTTAGCAACATGTTTCTCAATTCCACCATCAGCCAGTTTACATACATTAGTATGTTTATGAATATCCATGTATTTTTTAAACGTATAAGGGTAAAAAAAAAAAATGAACAAGGACTAACTCACATATACCATTGCAAAAATGGCATTTGTTGCTAACTTTCTGAAGAGTACGTTATATAAAAATTCAATATATAACTACAATGATGCTTTCTTAGTTTCTTACTATAACAGCCCAAACGAAAAAATAATTATTTGGAAGTTACTCTCCCAAAAGGAAGATGATTGAGGAATGCAATACTTACATGCCCTCCACTCATCAGGATGCTTAAAAGGAAATGCTAAACCATTGTCAATTGCAGCAATTTTAATAGCAGATTCCTTAGTTATAGTCCATTGGCTATCCTATGGAAGGAATATTTTAAAAATAAGTAATATCTATGTGTTTACAAAAATAGTGAAATACATTAAAAATACTAAATAATATACTTTATAGCTTCACTGCATAAAGTCAACTTAAACAATATAAAGGAGTATCCAAATAAACTCCAGCACATGTAATTCCTACTCTACCACCATTAAAGAGGAGCCCTTCCCCCAAATACAAAACAAGCAGCGCACACAAATAGCTGAAGAAATGTGCATGAGCCACAGTGGGAAGTTTTATTATTATTATTATAGCCCAAGCTGGTAAAGAAAAAAAATACAGAACAATAAAAATAACTTCTGGCATTGTTCTATTCAGACTAGTCTAATCCAAACAGCTTTTCCATTCATTTCTCCTACAATAATTCGCGGTTGTTATTGTATTTCTTGAGAATATGCACCAGGATTAAAGCCATGCACTTTATCCCCTGCAAGACCAAGTTATAAAACTAAACAATTTGAAGAACATAAGTTTCAGAGTACAATTCTCTTACCTTTTCTGACAGATCGGGTCCATCATCTTGTTTTTCATACCTAACTAACCAGTTATCGTTACCTCTGTCTTTGAACAGGAAAAATGCATGTCACAACATGTCATTTACAAAGAAATCATCATCTAACGTGATACGCAGTGGCTAACATTGTAAATCGAGAATTTACCACAGGAATCAGGCAAAACTATTCAAAAAGTTTTTCCATCAGAACACTTGTGTTTTAGCTTTACTGAAATGACTTACTGGAAAGACCAAAAATTCACCAAGCATTCTTAGGTATGTATTACTGCTTTAGCTTCCCTAACTGGCTGAATATACAGCCAAATATCAAGAAAGATAAGAGAAACTATTTTTATCCATTTTATGCAGAAAGATTGGCTGTAGTGTGCATTTTTCCTGGGCTAAGACGCAGCAGCCACAATGACTTAATTTTTAAGCTTGTTTTAATGCTGATGGGGAAAGGGATCAGCCCTCCAAAACTATACACAGTTTGATGTTTGACTACATGGAGAAATCAGACCCTTCAAAGATGGAGGGTGGGAAGACTGAAGAGCCTTTCAGAAGCTGAAAATGTCTGCACCGTTAAGACAAAATTGAGGCATTGAAGGCTTTGAGAAGGTCTTTCAGACAAAGGATGATTGCATGGATTTGTAGGTCCTTCCACCATCTTTAGGTGCCCCCTTCCGTTTAGTTGAATATCTATCAGAAGATTTACACATTATATCATGACTAGATATATTAGATGAAGGTAAAATTATCCACATAATGAGATTTTGCATTTGGAGTACTTTCCTTACAATTTTAAGAACGTCACAGGACACAGTAATTGTTTGGAAACATTGGGATCTGTTTGATAAAGCTGACGGACCATAGCAGCAGCTAGAAAGTATTATGTTCTTACGAAAGTGTTTTCTAGTTTGCTTCTAAAAAGCCACAGGTTAGAGTGACTTATTTTGAGCTGGATTCCTTTCTAATAAGTGAATTTAAGAAGAGGAAAATGAACTAGAGCTGGTATGTCTGAAGAAGAGTAAAAGTGCCCACCTCTGACAAAGCAGCAAAAGAAGTATTTTAAATATAACACTGCCTTTGGATCCTTAAGGAAATAAGCCACCCACACAATCAACAGAAGAATCCCAGCTTTTGAGTGAAAGAAATGAGAATGCAGGAGAATCGAGAGATACACATCACAGCTACACTTCAGTGCCCAGTCACAATCAATATGAACTATTTTGCACTGATGCAAAACTGCGGTTATCGGCTCCAGCTTAGCATAAAAGGAATGGTAGTCATGGCTTTTCTTATGGTACCTGAAACCCCACCATCCCTTATCCTAATCAGGGGAGACAGTTAATAGCCTACTGACAGAATTAACGCATAAAGAAAGTATTTGTTCTTGATTTCTTCTATTGCATAAAAATATCAAGTAACAGCCAAAAAGGGTTGTTTGGCTTTTGTCATAGTGCAGTATTTAATGTTTGAATCCAAAGTAAATGTTTTAAAATTTAAAATGCAACACTGGCCTTTATCTGTGAGAAAAAAAAAAATCACCTGAAATGCACTAAAAGCCTTCAGCAGCATCTTTCAGCCAGCATTGCTTACCTTTTCTGCTTCACAAAAGTAGATAGATACTGAGAGACACCAACAAATACCTGTATTTCTGATGACATAATCCAAGATAACCAATCTTTCAAACTGTGACTGGAATTCTTTCCTTGTGTTCTCAGGTAAAGGATCAGTTTCAAACTTCCTGAGCCAGTAGTCTGCTTCCTTATATCCTTCAACAAACAGCTGGAAGGAGCCAACCTGAATCATTAAGAAACTGCACTTGGAAAATGCACTTGGGTAGGTCACACAACTAATCTTAACATTAACAGTAAAACCAAAAAGCTTTCAAAATTCAGAACACAGGAAGTATGACATTAAAAAACAAATAAAAAAAATATTAGTAAGTAGTTTCTCCTTCATTCCGAAATTCTAAAACAAAGACACAAATCATGAGGATTTTTTTCTGGGTTTTTTGGTGTTATGTGGTTGGGTTTTTTGTGGGTTTTTTTTTAAATATTTGTTTAAGCATTCACTGAGCTTACCAGGAATAAAACGTAGACAGACAGCTCAACACAAATGCACACTCGGTATTACAAAAAATATTTGAAACTAAGAGAAAGAAATAACACCTATTCCCTTTTTCATTGGAAACACATGGTTCAATAGTTCATAGGAAACTCACCAAAAATTACAGGAGAAAAACATTCTCCTCTGAAAAGCTCATATGTTTCATTGATGATAACAGCAGCATTAACCATTTTTTCCAGACAGACACTTTTTGCATGAAAATGGCTGAAATGTATTTCCCAAGAGAGTTCAAGTAAGAAAATTACAGATAGCATAGGCTCCATGTGTGTGCGCAATGGGAAAGGTGCTCATGAGTAAAATTCAAAAGAGGACAGAGAAGTAAAATGCAGACAGAGGCACATGTGCAGAGACGTGGATAAAGAGACAGCACAGGGAATAATGATGCTGGCACAAGCTTGCATAACATATGTCACACGGATCAAAATTTCTGGGAACTGACACAAGTGGATTACCCAAGCTATACATAACCTGTGTTTTAAAAGTTTAGGAGTAGAACCACTGTGGTGATATTCTGGGGATACAATAAGGCTCATTAGGCAAGAATGATGTGAGGTTTTAGTCAGTGGAGTACTGCACACAAGATGAAAGGAAGGTAGGATGAACTCAACAACAGGGTACCTAAAAGAATAAAAACAAACAATAGAAGGGGAAAAAAATATTTAGGAAAAATGAAAGAACTAGATAAATTGCAGGGAGGAAACAATGAGACAATATAAAAGCACGACACTGAAGGGAAATGTACTAAACAGTCAAGAAAAAAAAACGTGAGAGATGCACAACATTTTAATGCTAGTCTTCCAGCAGAAAGCTAGACTGCAGACACACAAAAAATGGCAAGATTATTAAAGTAGTTCAAATGAAGGAATGATGTAACAGAGTGGACAGATTTTGCATAGAAACAGTCATATTTGTCAAACTTCAGTCATTCAGAGATAGTTTACAACAAACCACCAGGTTTTTCTTCTACTGTTGAAGTTAGCTACAAATACTTTTTTTAATTCAAAGTTTTGTATAAGAATCAGGAAATGCACAAATCACTTATTTTTCATCTTACCTTAGGAGGTAGTCCAATTCGATTAAATTTTTTAGCAACTTTTGGCACTTTCTCTAAAGCATATTTTTTTCCTCTTGACTTTGCACGATCTATTGCACTGTAATTAAAAGTCTCACTGACAAGCCAGACAACCTTAAGATACAAAAGTTAAAACACCACTCAGAATTGCTTATTATTTCAAATATAAATTTACAGTAAATTCTATGCTTAGGTGTCAGAAAAGCAAAAAGCAAACATCAGACATTTCCAACAGACAAATTTCATATGAAAAGGTGAGTATTTGCTATTTTACATATCTCAAACAAAAACGTGGTAAAACACTTACAAGCCAGAATCTTTATATGCTGCTTTTCGCATTTGTGATGCATCTCACCAAAACGTGAGGCATAAAAGTGTCAGAAAATGCTAGAAACTGAAGTGGTTCCAAAGAAGAGATTCAATTCAGATCACAACTTCTCTTTTAAAAGAAAAGTCACAGTCACAATTTCTACATCAAACCCCTGCGCCTTTGGACTTGCCGTAGTTTATAAATGACTTTGGGATAATGCATGATATGCAAGCATGTCTCCACAACTACAGTCCAGAGACTGACAAATCTGTCACTATATATTTTTTGCATTCAATAATTTCCGTATTTTAACTTTTACCTTAGTTTTAGGTACAACTCCCAACCCCAGCTTGTCATCCACAAGATAGGCACCAGCTTCAGAGAGGTATCCCTGATTTGGAACGAGGCAGCCTCTGCCAAAGCAGCAAGGACAACAAACTTTGTGAAAATATTTGGTCCATTTTGGATTTAGATGTCCATAAGGCTCTTCAGATTTTGGTTTGAACACTCCAATAATTTTCTAGGGTAAATAATATAAAATTAAAGAATGAATGCTTTAAATTGCAAGAGATTCAAATTATTCTGAAAATCAGTTATTTGAAAGTATTGGTTAGACACTATACATTGCATTTTTCAGTTGCTCTTTTTTGATCATGAAATGATAAAATTAACAAAATGGTATTTCAAATAAATTTATCATCAACTGCTTATCTAGAAGTAGTACAAACTCAAAACAAGCTCTTCATAAGAGAAAATCAAAACCAACTAACATTTACTAGTTTTTCCAAAATTAGAGGACTGCATTTTAAAAAACACATTTTTTTCTATGCCAATTTTCTAAAAAAGAGGGTTTAAAAAGTAGTTTTAAAAATTATTTTCAGCCCACCAATTAACTCATTGACAAGATATTTCAGACAGACATAATGGTTCCAGGAAAGTGACAAAAATACAGAATGCTAATAATCAAATGTTACCTTTCCTCTTTTACATCTATTTTATTTATTGCTTTAAGTTAGAATGGATCAAAACGTTCTGCACTTCGCAATTCCAGAGTGGTGTAGTTTACCACTGCTGTAGATTCCTCAACTCTAAGCTGACAATGGTTCACACTATCAGCCACCATCTACATTGGAGACTTGTAGTATAGCTTAAAATTACTGAAAGTATTGTGCCCAGTTTTGGGCACTACGCTTCAAGAAATCTGTTAACAAACTGGAGAAAGTTGAAAAACCAATGAGAATAAGCACAAAAAATGTGAATAATGAAAGACTGTATGAACAGGTATTGTTTAGCCTAAGAGAAAATGGGGCACGATGAACTATGCAATAGGTTGCTATACAGAAAAAAAGGAACATTTACTGTTAATGAGCTAATAAACGATAGGCTTAAATCCCAGCAGATAGGCTGCAAAGAAGAAAAACACTTTGAACCTGAACAGTGGCTCAAGACTGGAACAGACTGCCAGGTTGTGGAGTCACCGAAACAGGATGTCACTAACAACAGGTTAGTTAGAAATTCATCAGCAATCATGTTAAGACGATCCTGCTCCACAACACACGCATGAAACAGATGATTTCTCAAGGTGCCTTCTGCACGTGATTCTATATTTGTTAACCTCAAACCACAAGATTATTACCACCCTAAAATATATAAGCTTTCAATTGTCTGTGATGAACTTTAGCCTAGTGCATGAAGTTCATGTGATGACTCTTCTATAGCTCAAGTGAAATGCTGTAGAAATGCTTTATCTTCATTCCTCCTCTCAGGACCACGGCAAGTAAATCAAATTCTTATCTAATAAATATTTAAGAAGCATTTTCACATATTGGTACTTTCCTAAATCCTTCTCAAAAAAGTATCTCAATAAGCTAAACACTGCCCTTTGTTGCACCAACACTCATAGCTGATTTACGCTCTTAAGTCATGAACAGGTTTGCTGGCAGTCAGAAACTAGCGTTCTGCTTCAGTAACTGCTGCTTCAACTAGATTAGGGAGAGGACTTGACTAGTTGTTCTAGTTCCTAGAGAATTTCCACCCACTTTGTCCAAGACAATCTAACTAGTCCAGGATTCCCAAACACAAACTAACTACAGTACTAACTTACTTCATTCAGTATGTAAACAGATGACAAGCCACCAGTCACTGGTAGCATCACCTGTCTCATCCATCTACTTTGATTCACTCCCATCAACTACCAGAAGAAATAAGTTACAAAATATCACTATTTGCATTCATCCTATAAAATACGTTTCCTATCAACAGGAGCAGGAAACAAATTGACAAAAATCTTCTTGTTTTCGGTGTGCTGTTACCTGTGATTCTAAGATTACGTTCAAAATCCTAAGTTCTATGCAACTGCACAGGCACAATTCAAATTAGACTGACACATAAAGTTACACTTCCAATAAATATTCTATGCAATGTGAAAGGCTGGGATGTTCCCTGAATACTGTACTCCTTGTTTTTTAAAATCACTACACTTTGGAAACTGAATTTTCTTGGTATACTAGTTTAGTCAAAATTCTAATGTTAGGTCTAGAATTGTTAAAAAGTTCTTTAATCTTTTCTTACTGAATCACAGGTATCTACCTGCTCAAAACAAAGCTAGCAGCTTCTCATTTCCCAGAAACATAGTGGTGTATTTGGTAGTATATGCCAAGCCATCATCTCTTCTCTGAATCGCTCTTTGCATAATACTTCCTACAATCTGCCCATTTTCAAAAGGAGTTTAGCTCTTTCCATTACTTGCCTGGACTGTACTGTGCTACACTATCAAATCCAGATATGGTGTTCTATGTTTCACTGAAGTTAGAACCTTGCTAAATTTCGCAGAGCCACTGCTGATGAGGACTGGAGTAGAACCAGTAAGCTCAATATTCAGACAACCTACCAAAGCCAGTCTTAAATTGGCAAGACAAAATTAATTTCTAGACTGACTTCATTGGCATTACCAATTAGCCAGTAGCTAAACTGTCAAAAACATGTTGCAGAACGGTCTGCAACAGACACATTCTCTTTTAGTTTCTTGGTTGCACAATGAACAACAAATGCAGAAATAGTCAACAATTCAGCAATAGTGCTGCTTAAGTACTGGACTGCTTTACATCAGTATACAACTATGCCACTAAATGTAAAAACTTCACAATTTTAATTAGGCAATTTTAGTTTTATCTTTTTGACAGATTGAAATCAGTGAATGAAATAACCTAATGGAAGCAGGTTATTTTATCTGTAACTTGGTATTAGTGTGGGTAAGCACTTCAGAAGATGACCAGTAAGAACGCTTAGCACACCTTTAATAAGCTCTTTCCCAGCATAAGGAGGAGGAGACTACTCAAGAAGAACAGGAGAAAGCAAGTCACAAAACTGGTCTGAAGTAGAATGATGCAATACTCTGTCAAACAGGATGTGAAATCCATTCTACAAATGGGAGTTGCACTATTGACAAAATGAAGCTTTATCAGACCTTTAATATGGATAACAAATTCAGATAAGCTCTAAATTTAGTGCAAAGAATAAAAGGAAAATTGAAAGTCAGCTAGGAACTCAGTATCACTATTCTCACAGTCCCATGTTGGTAAATACTTTCAGATTTTGCAATGAAATTTTTTCTGGCCCACATTAAAAAAATGGTGGTTTTTTAGTCTTCATTTCCCTTAAATATTTACATTCAAATACATGACCTGCATGAAGGTGGAGGGCAAGGGACTACTAGGAACAAAAAAACCCACTGAAAAACAGAAGTAAAACCAACAAGAAAATCACCATGTAAGAAACAAGGAAATCAGGTGCTGCTTCCAAAATACTATGGTTGAAAAAATGATGTGTAAGTACTCTCTCATTAGCCCCAGGGCACAGTGAGTCTCAGGCATTTGCTAGTCACCAAAATAATACAACATCAGCCTGGAGAGGCTTCAGACAGAACAGATTTGCGCATATGGAAATCCAGAACAAGTATGATTTTTTCCTAGTAATTTCTCTACTAACTAACTTTCTAAGAATAAAAGATCTCGATTGCACTGCACTAAAAAAAAAAAAATATCCACTTAAGCAGTTTCAAAGCATTTTCAACGTAACACTGTAGAATATTCTTTAGACACGTCAAGCATTGACTTCTTGAAAAAGAATTTATTTAAACAGAATATATATGTATATATAAGCATGCAGCCTGAAAACCTACAAAGAACTTCACTACTGAAGTAGGGAAGTGACTTGAAGTTTAAGAAGTCTGATGAAACTTTGAACAGATTTTCATACTAACAGCATTGTACACGATAGCAAGAATCCCACAAAGCGATTAGAGAAAGAAATTTATTTTTCCTTTCAGTTTCAGAAAGAGACACTCTCCTGCCCAACCTGCTTTGGCTCTCCTCCACCAGAATGAAGAGGATCATTACTAACTAAGGTTCCTGGAACACAGGAGTATGAAATGCAACATGCAGTTCTTAGAAGATTTTGAAGGTGTAGTTTCTACCTTCTTCATTTCTAAGATAGAATTTTGCCACCTTCCACCTCAGAAATAAACTTGTATATTTATTTGCATTGAGTCAGGTAACTATTCTAAAAATCATTCATTCAAGGTGTAAAAACCATCACCAGAAAAGTGGTATTAAAACCAAACATCCATGAAAACTCATCACCAAAACAGTAATATATTCTGTAATGACCAATAATATAAAAGCTAAGCAAACAAACAAAAACCCTTCCTACATGAATGTGAAATGACCATTTTGGGGATGCAGGGAAGAACCACCATCTTGAATATATTCTGAAAACCTAGGCACTTTAAGCGTTACAACTTCCATGTCCAACACAACTGGAGTGTTCAGGATTAATGAACACCTGTGTCTACTTAAGACCAGAAGACTGCTGACTGAGCTTAAAATAAAATGAGATATGACAAATTAACAAAGGTGTAGGGGTTGGGAGTCTTCTTTTTTGGAACAGGTGGGTAAGCAGACAACAGTTTCTGATTTAAAGAAAACAACGTGAAAGTACGTCTGAAGCATCTTTTTCCTCTCACTAAATAATCGTAACCAAATGTTACTCTTCAAGCAAGACATTCAGGTGATTGTTACTTTTCTGTCTCAAAGTAACCTTAGGACACCTCTGTGAAGAGCACCATTCCAGGTACCACTCCCCACTAAGGGAGGGGAACCCAAATCTTCAGGTTAAGATTCAGCAGACAAGTGCAGGTAAAAAGGTAAGTTGGTTTATGTCACTCTTCTTGCCCATCTACCAGTCACATAGGAGGAAGGAGATGTGACCTAAACAAAAGACTATCTGAAAAGAAAACAGATAAAAATATAGGAGGCTTGGCTAAAGAAACCTAAACAGTACCCAAGTCAGAAGCTCAGCCGTGTCAAAAATCAACTAAAATAAACAAAGAACAAAATGTTAGATTTTGCACAAAGGGATTCCTGAATTACTTTCAGATGTTAAAGACGCCCTTTTGTTTTCTCCGTATTTCTTTGGTGCAGATCATTCAAAACATGGTAAAACCGCAACAGAGAAATAATAGTTACTTTCGCTTAGCTTATGCTGCAAGACATTATTAGAAGTCTAAATATTACTTGTGCTCATTTTTCCAAAAGGTATTCCGGCATATCGTAAATTATTAAACAACTCCAATGAATTTCCATGTGAAAACAACTTTTAAATTTCTATTTTAAACTCGTTGCTGACAGCATTTCTGACTTTGCAGTAACATGCTCACCCCTTTTGGATCCTTTGCAAAGTAACTCCCACTGGATCCTTGAGAGATTCTTTCTGGAAAAACTCCACACTCTATAGCTTGTTCTGCTCTCAGAATAATTTCTGCAAATTCTGGATCATCTAAAAATATATTCATATCAGCAGTATGTCCTGTATGCCCTGAAAAATAAGAAAACAATCTCAACTGTAATTTGTACTATGAATTAACAACGTAAGTAAACACACAGAAAAGCTAACAGCCTTCCCTGCTCACGCCCATTTAACAGCAGGCTGAAAAATCCGCTCCATTAAAGCAGTGCAAGTTTCCCCGCTGATTTACCCACATTTAGCCAACCTTTTGTTCAAGGTAAATCAGCCGAATCTGTAACAATTTGAGACTACCACTGCAAAGTGTTTATACTTTTTAAGGATTTTTTTAAACTTCAATTTACATAAGGAAGCCTATAAAAAAAAAATCCCTTAAAAATCATATCTGTAAAAAAAAAAGCTAAATATTTTACAAACCATTTTTATTACGATTTTTGTATCCTCTTATAGGGAAAGCTACCTGAAAGTAAACTGTCAATCACCCACTAACTATTAGAATGGCATCACACCATTCATTTAACAGTTTGGCTGACATGTTCATTATCAATCTAAGACACAATGATGTTATTCACAAAACAATCCGTTACATGTAGCACAACAGGTCGCACCAATATCTGCATGCCACCGCCATTCCAACACGAAAACACTTATCCACTACTTGTAGAATTTCTTTGCATACTGACCAAAAGATCAGCTCTATGCAGGCACTTGTGCAAACTCAAAGCAAACATTTAGGAAGACAACTAGAAACAACGTTGCTAGGATTTAATACTTCTGTTGCTCTTTCAACTTTTTCAGACAATTTCTCTGCAAGTTTTGAAACTGTAGATTTCTGAACCTTACTTTTAAGGCTAGGACTATTCCAGATTCTTTCTGAGTGCATTTTAATGGGTCTGTGTGCTGGGGCTCGTTTCTGCATTAAGAAACAGCTACATTATACTAAATTAAACACTCCCAGAGAAAGCTGCCTTGTTCCCATTTCAGCGCTTGAAGAAATGTGAGGCAAAACACATACATTCTTCTGGACCAACAACTGACACACAGAACCCATTCAGAAAAGAGACTCCTAACAGTCTGTGGACAGCCAAATAAAAAATAAATTATAAAAATCACTCAATGTTTTGGAACACCTTTTTGTAGCACAGGACATTCTTTGAAGTTTTCTAGAATGTTACCACTTCCTTGCATGAACCACTCACAAATAATAATGTGGCTTCCAAACAAAAATAACTGAAAAGCATAAAACATAGGAGAACCTTAAAATAAGTTGGCAACAGCAAGAGAAGCCTTAAAACTAACAACAGCTCATTCTTAAGAATCAACAACTACAACCCATTGGATCAGTAGTTAGACTACTCGGCCAATAATTCTGGCTTAAACCATAGTTTAATTTTAACACTTTTATTGGGACTGTCAGGGACAATCAATAAATTGCATTCGATAGAGTCAGCCATTAAGAGAGAGGGAAAGGGTTCTAAGATTTCCCTGTCACAAAGTACTCGAGTGAGTTAGGGAAATAAAACAACAAAAGCACAATACATTTATTTTTAGGGAAAAAGTCACTTTGAATCAGTGGTTCTTATTCCATATTCAAGCCTCAACTGTATCTATGCAAGAAACACCACATCACACAGCTGAGCTGCAACTACTACCTATTTTTGTCAGTCAAAGCAAAGTTAGGGTTGTGCATTATACTATTCCCAAACATTAAGTTGCCCTGCACGTTAATCTTCCAGATGAAGAGGACCTTTCTATCACAGGACTGAAGCTGCCTATGCAGAAGACAACTTTCTCAGAGGTCAGTTTTTAATTTCCATACATTCCTTCCAGAATCTAAAACCATAAGAAGTCTCACTGTCTTGAGGAAATTCTTCAACCATGTCTTTTCTAATATAAAAGATAACTGCAAGAAAAATATATTCAATTAAAAATCAAATTAAAAATCATCAAACCACATTTCGCTGTATGTTCAAGCAAGAAGAGAAAAATAATTTTTGAAATTAATGATTTGTTCATTATTGTTACTGTGCTACTAGAAAGCCTTCTGTTACCACAGTGATGTCACCGTACAAAAACCTTTAGGCTGAAAACCAGGAAATTGGCAGTTTTAAGAACTTTCCTTTCAGTTTATCAACATTCTCCAGACAAAAATAAGCTATTTTAATTGAAACCAGAATTTGTGGAATGTGGCGGGATTTTCTGAGGTGGTTTCTTCAAAAAGTTTTCTGCTGTGAAAGCATGTCATAGTCACATCTTAGTCCCAGTAGAGTCTCTAAAGTTGCAATTATAACTAATCAAGGTTTTCTTGCAACCACTCTTGAAAAATACTCTTCTCATTAAACTCCCAGGCAGGAGATCAGGGCTCACACACACACGGTCTAACTACCAAGCTAAATAACTTTTTTCACATTAATTTGGACAAGGCCTAAGGCTGTGAAGCTGCTGTACTTGAATGACGAGGACACACCAAAGAAGATACAATAATGGTATCATCCGTGTATACACCTCAACCTGTTCTTCCGTCAAGTTAACATGACATGAGCTAAACTGATACACTTCGCAAGAGTAACACATATGAACTCCTTCAAACTAGCTTTATGCTATTTTAACATTAACATAATTAAAGGTAGTCCCTTGAATCAATTCCATCTGTTCCTATACAGAGTCTCACATTGTGACTGTAATTCCGTTATGAAAACACTCTCTGCGCTGCAATGACATGCACGAATAACATATTGCATGTTTGTTCCACCTGACACACGGAATAATCCTGTACCTTCGAGTGTCAGACACACAGAAAAGGGAAGGACAAGGAAACAAGAGGAAGGGATGAGATGCGATCAATCACAGCTCTGAGATTTTCTGACATACTCTTGGGGCAGACCCCAAGAAGCACTCTGCATTCACCATCCTAATTGCCCCAGCAGTGCAAGACCCACAGCTCTCGTCTCTACTCTGAAGCATTAACTATGATGTTTTGCTCTAAGCAAACACATCTCATTAACACATCTTAAATCTTGCGGGAACCAGGCAGGAGCACTCCAACATTTCAAGGGCATGTTCGTGTTACAGGTCTGCTCTACACTTGGGACCGCTGATTAAAACATGAGAGGTTTTTTCCTATGGTTAAACACAGTATACTAGTAAAAGCTCTCTTGCTACTAAAAAGAGTTGTAGCATAATTTATTTCATTCAGATAGATGGGGGTTTTGTTTGGATTTTTTTTTGTAATACACTATTGTAAAAGGACTACTTTTTACCAGTCTCATGCAAGAAATCCTACAGTAAAACTACAACAGCAAAAACTATTAAGTCACAGAAGTCCACAGATCTCTGTCAGCAAACCTTTCTTAGATGTACATCTATTTACAAAGTTGTACAGAATCAAAAAGCTTGAAAGTCTACACAAAAAAAAGTAAGCAATAACTATTGTGTAGTTTCTCATCTTGCCCGTTGTTTTGGTTTCGGCTGCCGCCGGCAACAAAAGCGCCACAGCCGCTCTCCCGAAACCGGACCGGCGCTGCGCCCGCCCCAAGCCGCGAGTGCGTTCCCGCCGCGCCGCTCCCCCCCCACCGGAACCCAGCGTGACGTCACATGGTATGGAATACCGGGCTCTGTTTGGCAAGGTGGGGTCAGCCCCCACCCCCCGGCTGTGCCCCTTCCTGGAGTCCGGTGAAAATTAACCCTGTCCTGGCCAAACCCAGGACACCCGTATATTTACAATCAGATAATGGCCGTGCTTATGTTTCTTTTCAAATTCATAAGTATGTTCCTGCATTTCTGAATGTTCATATCACATTTCTTCCTTTCTTCAAGACTGGATTTCAAAACATGAAAAGCAGACGCATTTTTATGAAAACCAAAAATATGGCAGAAGAGTCCACATCTAAAGCTCTTCATACACGTGATGGTACAAAGAAGCGAACAGATGACTGGAGCAAGGAACAGAAACAGGGCAAATTTTTTTTACAGGATGAAAAGATGGGTGTCACATGAAAGTAATTGCTGGAACAGGCGAGACAAAGTGAAAACTTGACAGAGTTCACCAAGTGTTCAGCAAGCAGCAGCCAGCCCCACCACAGAACAGGCTGTAAAACATGCAAAGCCAGAAGTTTAAAAAGAAAAAATACAGAAACCAACAAAGCCAAGCCCAACAAAACAGCAGACAGAAAAGAAGGAGAAGGAACAGCAGAGACGCTGACAGAGCCGTGAGCGAGTTCGTGCAGCCCTGCTGAGCCTCGAGCCGCGCACGGCACAGCCCAGCGCAGCGCTCTCCCTCC